GTGATATGCCAGTGCAGACAAAAGCAATATCTATAGATGGATTAAATATCACTATTAATACTTGATAAAAATCTTTTAAAATAAACAAAGGATTGGAAAGGYAGGCCCTTATTTTCATTAATGGGACTTCTGTAACAGCTCTAGGTCGTGGGGTGGGTTTTTTTGTTTGTCTTTGTTTAGTTGGTTTTGGTTCTTTTTTTAGTGCATTATTTGTTGGGTTTTTTTTTTGTTTTTATTTTGTTTTTGTTTGTTTGTTTGTTTGTTTGTTTGTTTGTTTGTTTTCTGTCATAGCAAAGGATTCTGTATTTGGGGCCTGGAAAAGATTCTATAGACTTCTATAAATATCTTAAGGAGGGGCTGACTCTTGGATGAAATAATTTTCTAAGCATTATCAGTTTCAAGGTTATGAAAAGCATTCCAGAGTTAATAAGAAGAAAATTCTCACAGATCTATAGCCTCAGATGGTAACAGTATTAAAATGGCTTATTGCTTATTTTCAGCTACCTTTCATATACATGCTTTTTGGAGGGATAAATAATGTGTTAAAGATTGTGAAGTATGAGATACTGKGGTAAGTGTGGCCATATAAGAACAGAAGATAGATAAATGCTGAAATCAAAAATGGCATCATGTTTGTGATGAGAATTTAATATCCATGTGCAGTGCCCTGGAACAGAAATACTTTATAGCCCTTGAAAAAGGAGCACAAGGYGGGACAGAAAGCTTCTCCGAAGTGATAAGGCAGTGATGAATTTCAGTGCTTTTCCCTGGCAAACCCTCTGGTCTGCAGAATTTCTGCCCCTTCACCCTGCTGGGCCTTGGGAAGAAAGGCTGCTGCTCCTGCAGTGCTTTCCCATCCAGCCCTTCTGACCCATCTGGACCTTCTCATTTCTGTTAAATGCGTGATTTACATTCGCTTTTGCACTGCAGGGACAGTAATGCRGGCATCTGGGGAACAATGAGGGAAAACTCTGACTTTCAGTAAAAATCCATTGCTAATAAGCAAAACTGATTACCAAAACAACAAAAATAGTGCATGCTCCTGGAATGGACCTGAGGTTTCAACTGCTGCAAAGTTTCCCTGCTGTGAAAGCACATGAATTCCTCTGCTTTTGCAGCAGTAAATCTTCTTGTAACGCTACTTATATTTAGTTCCATGTATTAAAAGACTCTGAATGACTGTTCTGCATTGTGTGGGTTTTTTTTTTTCAATATCTTCCAGTTATGAGCTGCAGCTTTTTCTGTCCTCTGGGCCCTCCAACATATCTGCTACAGAAGAGCTGTGATGTCATCAAAATACTCAGTTTTACTCKTATTTCTACCATTGCAAACTGGAAATAACTATCAAATAGTAAGGTTGCACTGGTTTAGGATAATTATCAAGATTTATACCATATTGTTGCAGTGTTTATGATGGTGAGGCCTCAGGAGTTTCAGTATGTTAARATGTGCTACAATATAGATAAAATGGGAAGGTTTGCAAACAGTGGGTATTCTACAGCTGAGAATCTAAAAAATACTGGGGATTAGACAGAATTAGATCAGATAAGGCTGGAGATCAGACAGCAAGCCTCACATCACTGAGTTTGTCAKAGGCTCACTTTCAGCTAAGAAGCCAGAAATGGTTTCCTCCATTTCTTAGGAAGCAGAACCCTGGGTGCAAAGTGGTGGTTTCTCAGTCATCCCAGCAATCAGAATGACGTGAATAAAGGAGCTTTCCACATTTTGCCACCCTGTACTGCGGTTCTTAGGAATGTTATCAGAGGTCCATTTCTGCCTACTTTGAGCTCCTGATGTTGCCCAAGCAGCCAGAGGAGCTGTCTCTGTGACTTCACATCGAGCCTGTTATTTAGATATCATCACCAAGCATGACTGACTTACCATTTATAACTGAGGAGAATTCCGGGAAAGCATATGCTCAAATAACAGCAGTAAATTATAGGATAAGGTAAGATATCCACATTAGAAAGGCAAACAAACAAAACATTAACACTGTTTTACTTTAGAGAGGAAAATAATAATAAGATGTAATACAAAGGAGTTACATAAGGGATTGAATAATATGTAGAAATATGTTCTGTTTGCCCATGTCTATTTCACACATGCAGTGAAAATAAATGACAAAAAAATCAAAAGTCATAGAAGAAAATATTTCAGATAGTGGAACTTGCTGTCACAAGATACATTCTACAGTGTTGCAAGCAGAATTAGGGTGCTTTGGGGACCCCACTGGACAGTACCCCCATGCATAAATTTTGATCTTCTGACTCACTCTGAGGTTAAATGTGCAATCCACAAAAGTCAGTCCCTGTGCAAAGAATTGTAGTGGACTGGAAAACAGGCAGTAGAAGTTATAACTAAAAATCTCAGAACACTGTAGAGCAGAGCTGGAAGAATATTGTAGTGAGATTCTAATAGGATCTAAGGGGACTGAAATGAATTGCATGACTGCAGACAGTAATGTTACAGGGAAGGTAGAGTGCTAGATTATTGATGAGGACAGAGGATGAAGATTACCTGAGGGTGTCAGCACACTCTTCACAAAATATATTTCCATTTAATCTTTCTACTTTAAAGCAGGGAAGAAGGTTGCCCAGAAGTTAGCATTCATTAATATCTATTGCTTTCAAAAAAGGCCACAATGATTTTGTTGATCCTCTCTTATTGAGCGTCTTGCTCTTTCCTGATGTGCAAAGACACAACTGGGCAGAGCTCTTGGCTTTCTTAATGAATCTGCAAGTTGCTACAGCAAAAGGCCACCTGCTCATGTTTTTTTGTAGGTGAAGCAGTGACCTTTCTTCCCTGTGGCCTCCCAGTCTGGCCAGTGCCTATTGCAGAGCATTTTCACTGCACATCTGGAGAAACTCAGTGCCTCTTTACCATTTCGGCTGTGACAGAGCAGTTCCTCCATATTGCTGCTAAGTCAATACTTCCTTTGGTGCATGAGTATTCGCTTCACTCATTCTTGATGTGCCTGCAACAAAAAAATTCTTGATTCCTACCTGCAACAAAAAAATAGGCAAGCTATCTAAAGACCTTGAAGTTTTCTTAACATGTAAGCTGTTTTCCAAGTCTGCTAAATTCTTTTTTGACTGGCTGCAGCTAAAGAAATCAAACCTGATTTGATTACAGCCACTAGAGGAATATTCCAGATCCAGTTGTAGTAATTGGAAACTTGTGTTGTAAAGGAATAATCTAAATTCATCTAAAAGATAACTTCTTTGAATACAGTCCTACAAATTCACAGAGGGCACAAATTCAATCAGCCAAGATAGCATTAGCTTTGTACCCCAGAAAGTTCCTAGTCTCTCCCTTACTSGGTTCAAAAGAGGTAACATTTTTCTTTGTGCTTTACATTTAAAATAAATTGTCTTAGATGGAGACATTACCCCAGCAAAGTTTTTGCCAGAAACAAAATTCTTCTAACCAAGT